CAGTGCTTACTTGGAATCACGCTGGCCTTCTTTGAACCCACACAAACCACTTGGAGATGGCCATGTCCATCTCATCTCTTTAGGACTCTGTACTTCTGCATGAATCTATCAGGGCATGGTGCTACCCACTGAGACTTTTCCTAGGAAGAGACCCTCACTGTGCCCCGGGTGGGGCTGGCATCTTGGGGCCCAAAGAGGGTGCTTGTGCCTCTCTGCTCAAAGCCAGGCTCCACGAGGCACACCCCGTGAGGCACAAAGGTTAATTCTTGACTGCCAGCCAGTATTTAACTTTCTACATAAGATTAGATTAAACTTTTGGGTTCATAAGAGCCTAGGATTGCAGGCTGCAGTTAGCAAGGGCTTCGTGGGTCATAAGCTGAGGTGCTCAACGGGCTGAGATTTATATACAATCCTGAAGAGCTTGCTGACACCAGTAAAAAGATTCAGAGCAGCCTGGCTTTGTAAAGGAATTTCACACTGCTCGCACACTGTATAGGTATGTTTTATTACACATTCTTTATTTTTTGAGGAATTATCTAAGTAATCTATTTTCCTTTTCTAGAAAATGTGAAAGGAGCAATTTTCCTGGTATATGACCTGGCCTGACTGTCCATCCCCTCCTTTTTTCCCTTCATCCTTCCGCCATCCCTTCCTCCTTTTCCTTCCTCCTTTTCCTTCCTTCCTTCCTTCCTTTCTTGTGTTTTCCTTCTTTCTTCAGTAATTGGCTTTGGGTAAAAATTTTGAAAGTTTTTGTTTTAAATGGAAAACTCACGGTAAATGTAGGCAATCAAATATTTTTCTATTCTTGATATAAAAAATAAAAGACTTTGCTGCCATTTGAAGGCTGTGTTGATGCCTATAATCCATCTTCTTTCAAGAAAAGAGTACTGTGGACTTAGGGGTCTAATGAGCAATACTTTCCTTGTAGTGTCCAGATTGCCCTTGTCTGGAGTCACACATTTGTGACAGGGAGAGCTGGAATCAGGAGATCATTCTGTTGCCTGGAGACAAGGCACAACTAATTGATGTTTGGACACTCAAACCATGGTCGCATTCTTTTATCTTTTACCCAGTTGAGCCAACCAGCCTAAGCAATGGAAACAAGGAGTTACTGGAATGAGTGGCCTCTGCTAGGATATAATGAGTGCTGAGCACTGGCCCAAGTGATTTGGGTGCAAGTCCAGGCACTGTGGCCAATGTGAGAGCCCTGTGATTCTGGACAAGTGATTTAAGTGCTCTGGGCTATAGTTACCAAATAGTAAGCCCACCTCTATAATCTCTAGGATTTCTCCATGACTCAGCAAGAGCCATTTACTGGAAATGTAGTTCCCATTAGGTTGAACCACATGAAATTGCCAATATTTGACCATTTTAACCTACATGAATGGAAATTTCATATGGTCAAAAAGAACATAGTCATAGCTGTCTTGGTATTACTAAAGTAAAGCTCTATGTGGTTTATGCTAGGGTAAGTATGTATACTAAAAATGGTTGGTATCTATCAGTTCAATAGCTATCCTGGGAATCAAAAGTTTCAATCAGCCCATGTATCATGTGAATATGTTTTGGCATAATGTCTGTCACTGAAATCACCTTCACACACTGTGATTTGGATTTTTCCTGTGGTCCAGCCATGGACAGTGGACTGCCCAGCTAAGCCACATCTCACACATCAGTATTCAAAAAGTGAATCCCTCCGGGGCCTGCTCTTTGAGCCTGGACGGAGGGCAGCACTTAAGTAGTTAATCCCCAAAGGCCCTATGCAGCCCTGGGATTAAGTCTGACCTGCTTAGCAGTAGGCCTGTGTTCTTGGTAGAAGAGCTTGGCAAATACATGACCCCACTGGCCTCTCCACCATCAAGGGCTGGCGAGTGCTGTCGTGGCTCCAAATCCACAGAACTTCCAGTGACTTTGGTTGACCTCTTGTGGATTGGATTCAAATCCTGGCTTCACTTTTATGGTACCCAGACCTCTTTGTGTCTTTGTACCTGGATTCTTCAGATGCCAGGTTTATGGTGCATTACACATTGGGCTGTGACGATGACCGCATGGAATTAATACAATACACGTAGAGAACACCCAGGCACACCATAAATACTCATCGATGGCCACTCTTATAAAGCCTCACTTTGCAACTTCAGGAAATTCACACTGAAGTCTCTCATCTCAAAGATGAGTTGTTAAAAAGATTCTTGGACAAGAAATAAGAGGTCCAGAAGTTCCCTGAAATTCAATGTAGAGCTTCCTATATGCATTTGTACATATCTCTGGGAAAAATAAACTTGCATAGCTTTATTTTATTTCAAGGAATGTCTAGCACATAAGGCAGACACCCTCAAATGAGTTAAGAGTGAGTGTTCTGGTAATTTCCAATTGAATTTCACAGAGAGAGGAGCAGTCATTCTTTCACTTATTCATTCACCAAATATTTGGTAAAGATCTATTGGGTAGAGTCCTGGGATTCCGAGGTGAATGAAAAAATTCTGGCCTATAGCAGGTCCAGTTCTCACATCATTATGACTTGGTTTACTTTATCCCCAAATATCAGTCTCCTCCTTTGTAAAATGGAGGAAACAATTCTGATCTTGAAGAGTGGTTTTGGGTGCATGTCACATGAATAAGGACACAAGAAATGGGTAAATGATTGTTTAAAAATGGCAGTTTGCAAAAGGAGCCTAGAAAAGGGGACTCTGCTAGATCTAGGCAGGTCAGGGAAAGTTCTAGGGAGAAGGTGATGCCTCCCCTGGGTTTCTAAAACTGCAATAGAAAACAAACTATACCTCCTGGAGTCAGCAAAAACAAGGGACTTTCCTTCTCCTGATGCAAGGCAATCTGGGAACGAGTACGCAGAAAACAAAAGTTAGTTTACAGCTCTTCTTCCCTCCAGCCCCATCTCCTCAATGCTTACCTAAGGTGACCCATTGCCATTTTAGCTTTGGATTCTGAAGGCTTCTCTTGAGGGACTGGCCCTGCCTGGGCCTGCTAAGCATCAAAACATACCTCAGCTATGCCCTGTTCCCACATAAAAGTCAAGCACTTGCCTTGATTTCTCACATGTGGTGAACAGCTGAGGAGATACTTTGATGAGAACATTCACAGAAAGATCTTGACAGCGAGTATAGCCTTTCCTGTTGGCCTTCCCTTGTAACACTAGGGCTTTCACTTCTTTTGCTTAAAGAAGTAACTGATGCAACCCCAAACACAGTGGTGTGGAGACACAGGCTGAGGATCTCTTATCTGAAATCTTCAGAACCTGAAGTGTTTCAGATTTCTGTTTTTTAAAAATTTGGAATGGTTGCATATACATAATGAAGTATCCTGGGGATGCGACCCAAGACTGAATATGAAATTCACTCATGTTTCTTATACACATAGCCTGAAGGGAACGCTATGCAATATTTTTAGTGCATTTGGATTTTTGACTGTGACCCATCACCAATGTCAGGTGTGAAATTTCCCACTTGTGGACATCATGCTGGTGATTAGCAAGTTTCCAATTGTGTTGTTTCTATGTTCTATTCCTTTTCACAATTTGGGTTCCCAAAGGGAAACTGAATTCTCTCTAGAGTAATGGCAGAAAAAATAGACAAGGGAGCAAAGTCACACTACTCTTTATTGGATGGAGCCATAGAGAAGGGTTGGGAAAAATGCAAAAGGACTCACGTGTGAAATAATCCTGCCCATGGCATTTTCAGCAAGACTTTATCTCAAAATTAAAAAAATTAAAAATGCTGGAAATGTAGCTCAGAGTAAAGGCCCCAAGTTCTTTCCATCCTCAGTACCTCAAAAAAAGGGAGTGGGGAGCACATCTCCTTTACTTCGCTTGGAAAATGTGCTTGGTGTGTACCTTGTATCAATCTTACCTATTTGCTAAGTTTTCTTCAACGTGCTGATGACGAGAGGAAAGGATTTTAGGGCTATTTGAAAAGCAGAACTTAAAATGTCAGATGGAGAAAAATATCTTGGCTACAGTAATTCTTAATGAGGCAAATTTAGGGAGATGTGCTACAGAGGGTAGCAGGTGGAAGAGCACAGCAGAAATAATGGAGGTAGGGAGGAGACAATATGCAAATGCCCTGAAGTAAGCAAGCTTACCGAGTCTGAGGAAAAAGTCCGCTGTGATCAGATTGTTACAAGCAAGGGGAATTTGGGAGGTGAGTCAAGAGGTAGGTCAGGCCAGGCCAGGTCAATCCTGTTAAGGAATTAAGATTTTATTTTAAGGGCAACAAGAAGCGATTGCATCACTTCAACAGCAAGGGGGCAGCATGATCTTCTTTCCTTCTGGAAAAAAGCACACTGCTCTGAGACAGAGAGAGTTACAAAGAGGTGGTCTGGGGACTGTATTAGATGGCCTTGCATCACCCAGGCAAGGTGCCGATGGCTGGGTAATGGGAGAGGAATTGGAGAGCAGAAATGGATTTGAGAAATACAGATGACTGCTCAGGTTATTTCTTTGTATCAGCTACCTAAAGTATGTCTTTAGAATATGGCTGCATGCGCACCTCTGTAAGATACTGGGGGAAAAGCACTGTCCAGACCTAGGAGATGGGACAAATTGGAAAGGGGCAATGTCTCTGGCAATCTTGTGCCTCGTTGCTGTGTCTCAATCCCCACAATTCATAAATGAGTCATTGCTTTGTTTGACTGATTGTGTTGAGCACTTGTTCTGAATGCAGCATTGTGCTTGCTGTGGGGAGGTTACTGATCTTTTTAAGCACAAAATTAATGCAAGATTACTGAAAATTTGGAACATGAGAAAAGCCCGAAGAATAAAAAATATAGACCTGTAAGCACACCACCCACTAACACTTTGTTCTGTTTACTTGGTCTTCTCCATTTTCATATGTATATATTTATTCATGTATAAATATGTATTTTTTATGTCTTCCATTAAAAATTTTTGTAACATGATGGTGCATGCAAAAAGTAGATAAAATGTATCTGATCAGTTTAAAGACTAACAATATGCAATCAATCACCAGCCAGGGTGAAAAGAAATATTACCATTCCCTGCCTCTTCTCCCTTCCCAAGGGAGCCGAATGTAGAGAGGATTTGTTTTCTTAATTTCATTCATCTATTTATTATCTGCATTTCAGCACAAGGAAAACATGATTACTTTATCCAATTTGACACAGACCCTGGAAGATGTCTTCCAAAGGATTTTTGTTACTTATATGGATAACTGGCACAGGAACAAGACCATCGAGCAAGAGGCTCTCCAAGCCAAAGTGGATGCCGAGAACTTCTACTATGTCATCTTGTACCTCATGGTGATGATCGGAATGTTCTCCTTCATTGTTGTCACTATCCTGGTGAGCACAGTGAAGTCCAAGAGACAGGAACACTCCCACGACCCCTACCACCAGTACATCGTGGAGGACTGGCAGGAAAAGTACAAAAGTCAAGTTGTGCATCTGGAGGAATCAAAGGCCACCATCCATGAGAACCCTGGCGCCGAAGGGTTCAAAATGTCTCCTTGATAAGGGAGAGAGGCACAGAGCCAAGACCTGACATCCAGGTATGGTGAGATGCCCACAGGCCATGCAAATCCAAACTGTCACTGCTTAGAAGGGAGTAAGTTCCTTGCTCTCTGTTGAGAATTTCCATGGACATTATGGGGCTGGCCAGCTGAGCCAGATGACATTTCAATTGTAGTGATTTACATTCGCTTATTGGAGTGATATTTTGTGCCGAAGACCTCTTTTATTTTCTATGCAATGTAAATACCATTTAAATCAATGTCAGTAGTGAAAATAAAACTGAATTTAAAGCAAAGGCCCTGGGCAGTGGCAGTGTAAATAGAAAGGACAGATTTACAAATCACTGAACTTTCTTTCTCATGAAACATTAGCTTGGATGTGACAAATTCAATTTATAAATACTCAGATGTATTTTTCAAAAGCTGAGGTTCAAAATTTATCTCTTGCTCACTGGATTGACATAGAATAATTTCTTATTAATTTATGAGCACGGTCTGAAGTGATGAATGAATAGAACCACAAGGTTACATTTATTGTTTCCCTGGTATTTAACTTATTTGGAGGTTTGAAGACAGAAAAAGCATTGCAAAGGGCAAATAATCCATACCAGCAAAGTCAAATATTTAAGAAACATCTGGTGCGACAGAAACATATTTAAAACTAACTTTTAGAGTTTTGCAGAAAACTAAGCTTTGAAAATTCTCCTTATTTGAGAAAAACAATAAAAAGTTATGACCGGGGTTTATAAACAACTCATTCTTTTCATTAAGTTGTATTTTATTTACACTTGCTTTATTTTCATTTATGTTTGAAGAGACTAAAGTTACAGGGAGTGTTAAATTGCTAATGCCTGTTGAAAAGCTAGGCAGTAACTGCTGAATATTGTGTGGGGCTATATGGAGCAGAACATATCCTGGGGAACAGGGACTGGGGAGATGTTGCTCAAAATAGGCAAAATTTCAGTTAGAGAGGAGAAATAAGCTCAAGAGACCTGTTGTATAGCATGGTGACAATAGTGACAGTACATTGTATTCTTGAAAATTGCTAAGAGTAGGCTGGGTGTGACGGTGCACACCTGTAATCCCTGCACTCAGGAGGCTGAGGCAGGAGGATCACCACAAGTTTGAGGCTGGCCTGGGCTACACAGTGAGTTCAAGCTAAATTACATAGCAAGACCCTGTCTTAAAAAAACAAAACACACACACACACGCACCAAAAAAAAAAAAATGCTAAGAGTCGATGTTAAGTGTTTTCCCTACAAAATGCTAACTACTTGAGGTGCGGTAATGCATGTGTTAATTAGCTAGATCTAGACATTTCACAATGTACATATACTTTAAAACATGTTATATATAATAAATACATGAAATTTTATTTGTCAATTTAAAAAATTAAGTATTTTGCACTGTGGGGTACATGATATCATGTCAGAGCTGGGGGGTACCTTGTAGATTTGCTCCCCACTCCTGTCAGACCCCTTCATTTGTAGATGAGGAAACTGTAGGTTATAGAGATTTCACTCACTAATTCAACTGGTGGTTTGTATACTTGGGTTACTAGCCTGGACCCCAGGAATATTGTTACAGTTTAGCCCTAAAACATCCCCCTCAAATCTCCTGTGTTTGGAAGATGATTGGATCATGGGGTCACTAGACTCATCAGTGGACTCACCTATTGGTGAAGTGATTCACCTATTCAGTAGCTGAATAGGCTGTTAGGAGGCGGAGCCTGGTTGGAGGTGTTCGCTGGGGCCATGACCTGTTACGGTGTATTCCTGTCCCCAGCTCTTGCCCCCTTTCTGCTTCCTGACTGCCGTAATGTGAGCGCTTTCTTCCACCATGCCCTTTCTGTCTTGAAGCCAGCAGACCATGGACTGGAATCACGAGCCAGAATAACCTTCTCTTCCTTAAGGGTGTGAGAGTCAGGTACTGCGTCCCAGTGATGGAAAAGTGACTAAGACAAGTATAGAGGAGGACTATAGGAAGGCTGTGCTGTAGGAGCTCGGCCAGGGTAGAGCAAGACAGGTATGTAAGAATGTCAATAGGCCACGGCAGAGATCAACACCAGGTGGACAGAGCTGAAGCGGGAACAAGAGGGCAGGTGGAACTTGGGTCGAGGTCTCCCCTTCCAGAGCAGCTGGGAGGAGGAAGTCTATGGCAAAAGAGAGAGGTGGGGCTCTCAGCATCACGTAGTTCATGCCCCCCCCCCTCCCCTCCCTGGCCAGGGTTCAGCAGTTGTGAACAGGGCCTCAGGGTACAAAGACAAAATTCAAAAGAGCTCTTTGGCTAAGCACAGGTGTAGAAGTCCTTGCACTGTCTTGGTCAGTTTTCTATTGCTATAATAGAATCGCTGAGACTATTTACAAAGAGGTTCATTTTGGCTCGTGGTTTGGAGGCTGACAAGTCCCAGAGCACAGTACCGGTGTCTGCTCAGCTTCTGCCGAGGGCCCGTGTTTCTTCAACTCGTGGCTGAAAGCAAAAGTCCAGTGGGTGTGTGCAGAAGAGGAGAAAGACCAGAGGCCACCTTGCTATCACAACCTGCCCCCCGGATAGCTAGGCCAGTCCCAGGAGGGTAAGAAATCTCCCACAAGATGGCACTAACCCCTCCATGAAGGCAAACCCCTCATGACCCACTCCCTCTTAACACTATTGACTGGGGACCGAGCTTCACTACGCATTGTGGTGGGGACAATTCATATTCAAACATACAAGGGTTGTCTCTTTAATGTTATAGAATGAGATAGAAACAAAGTATCTGTTTCCTATAACAGAGCTGCAATTATGCTAAGGGAAGCATTGAGTATTAGGGTTAGGGGAAGCTATTCAACTGCAAGAAGAGACCTCCTTCTTCAGGTCAGAAGCCCAGAAATGCTGTTGTTGCCTCAGACACATGTATCTCAGAGAGCCCAGAGCAGCAACAGAGTTGGCAATTCCAGGCTTCAGGTGTCAGTACACACTGGGAGCTGAGGTTTCCACCAGGGGACAATGACTTTCCTTGACCAAACTCTCATTGGGCTGAGCCCTCTCCTTGACTAGGACACAATCTCACCCTATAAAAACTGTGCACTCTCAGCGCAAATGATTTGTCCAGCTCCAGACACTGAGAGACTTGATCAAACACCAGCAGTGTTTCTAACAGCTCAGGGCTATATCCTTAGGGTGACTGTAGCCCCCTTAAAGTACCTGCCTGAGAAAAATGAACACTGCCAGGAGAACTGACTGTTTCAGAAAAACGTGATGACAGGCAGATAGTTTCCTGAACCCCATCTGGGAGCAACTGAGAAAACTTTCAGTTATAAATCCTTTTTTTTTCTCCCTTTGAAATATAATTTTCCATCACCCAGAAATGTCTGGTCTTGTCTCTTTGAAAATTAAACATTAAAACTCCCTGCTGGGTGTGTGTCTTGCTGTAACTTACATCACTGTCACCTATTACAGACAGAAGTTTGTCTCTTCTCCAGACAGCACCAGTGAACAAACCCAGATGACTTGGACGAATACCCTCCCTCTTTTCATGAATTTCCACTTCCTGGCTCTTCATGAGCGCCCCCACCTTGCCCAGTAACCTCTGCACTAATGGAAGTAGAGCTCAGTCCACGACTGGTCCTTTTTCTATTGCAGTACTGATGACTTTATCCTTACTGCTTTAACTAGTGTCCAGCTTTGTATATCTTCAACACAAGAAAACAAACTGAGAGGGAAAAAAATCAAGATTTTCCTAATTAAACATGGCTTATTATCAGTGAATACACAGGTGACAACAGAGATGGTTATCAGTCAACTTCACTTCTGGGGAATAGGAGAAATGCTTTTTTTTTTTTTTTTTTTTTTCTGATACTAAGGACTGAACCCAGTGCTTTCACACTGAGCAAATTCCCAGCCCCTTTCTAATTTTTAAAATTTTGAGATAGAGTCTCCCTAAGTCAGTAAGTTTCCCAGGCTGGGCTCAAACTTCCCATCCACTTGCCTTAGCTTCCCAGAGTGCTGGGATTACAGTGTGTGACACTATGCTGGGCTGAAATGCTGACTCTCTACACCCATGTGCAGTGTATAACTGTTGAAACCATTTGCCGTAATTTCTCCCCCTAGTATCAACTCCCACCAAACTGGTTTGAAAATTCCAATTCAAACAACTTGCTGTTTTTCTTCTCTATGCTGTTTGCTTTTAGAGTGCCTTCTACTTGTTCTACTGGCTCCATATGACATGAGTACCACTTACTTCTTAAAGGACAGCTCAAAAGGTATTTTAAAATGAACCCATGGTGGTGGCTGATCTGGTAAGACTAGATTCAGGTTATCTGGGTCAAGTCTTCGCTCTGGCCCTTGCTACCTTAAAACTCTGGACAGATCTGTTTGTGTCTTCATTTTCCCATTTCCTCATCTCTGAAATGGTTGTTATATGTCCTTTACAGGCTTGTTATGGGACTTAAATTAGGCAACAGTCTCAAAATGCTGAGAACAAAGGTATATTTGTTACTTTTCCCTCTATAAAGAATTAAATGCCCTCCCCTCAGTTTGCTCTTTCCTCTAACCCCCTTAACATTTAGAACTTGATCACCACAAACAACCATAATGGCATGTGCATAGATCTCCTGAGTACAAATACCATTCTGCCTCTGCAACTTGAGAAGGCCTCAGTTTCCTTCTTCTCAGAGGGTTGAGCCAAGCGCGCAGGGACAGCTCTATGAATATTACTCCTTTATCCTGTATTGGGGTGCTGTTTGTGCCCTGCTGTGCTCGCGTTCATTAAGCATTCACTGTATGCAGAACTCTGGGAACCTAGCGCTCAGGAGCCCTCCGGTTACCCTAAAGGAAAACGCACGCATGCATGCATGTTGTCATGAGAGAAGTCCAACACTAAACGTGGAAACTTCTGGGGATCTGCGTGTCCCGAGGCGCACACAGCAGCGAGGAGGCAGCCAGGAGGAGGCACCTAGGGAACCAGCCCAGCGGAGGGCGAGGGCTGCAGTCCTCCACCTCCGGATGAGACTATGCCCCCGGGTTTGGACGAAAATGCCCCAGGGCTTGGATGAAGGTGCCCGGCCTATGCCACACCCCGAGGACTCCCTAGAGGGTCTATCCAGAGGTGTGCACCAAGTAAGGCACATTTCACCTAAAGAGTGAACTTCGTTCCTCACCACTACATCACCCGGGGCTTGCTGCCTGGACCCAATGCGCCTGCGCCCGAAGCGACGAACGTCGCGCGGCAGCCCGGGCCCACTGCGCCGGCGCCCGGAACGGTTCGTCGGGATTTGTAGTTTCCCCACTAGGATTGTGGGAGTCGTGGTTTGCTTGCAAATTGCAGAGGCCAGGCGTTAGAGGCTCCACCGCTGGGCGCATGTAAGTGTGGGTGGCTTACGGGTTGGCGGGAATGTTAACCGAAACGCGAAGGCTCTTCGGCGCGCTGGGGATCCTGCGGTCAGCCCTGCATTCGAGTTTTCTCTCGGGAATAAACGCCTGCTGGTCCCGAGCCGCGGACCGCGAGTGTGACAGCCGCCACGGCCCCACCCGCAGAGCGCGGATTGGGCGTCGATCTGGCTCGCGGTCTGGACAGGGCCGGAATTGGTGTGGCCAGGGGTGTTGGTCTTCGACGATCTTGGGGACAAGCGAATGGACGCTCTGTTGAACGGAAGGGCGGGTGGTGGGAGGACAGCCCCAGGCCCTCACCCTTGGGTCTCAGTGGGGTGGCTGTTGCACCCTGAGTGTCGGGGGTCGGGAGAGGACCCAGGTCCAGCCCCCGAGTTACCCCGAGGAGGACCCGAGGCTCACACAGGGCCCTGTTACCCACTGGGGTTTGTCCTACCTGGGTAAGGTAGAGAGGTGCAGACCCCTGGGCCTCATTTCCCCGAGATTTCCAAAAGGTTGGAATGTGGAATCCGAGGAACCCAGATGGAATGAGTCTGGTTTCCCTGAGGGCCCTGTGCAGAGGAAAGAGGGCCAAGTGATTCCCTAGGGTCACCGTCTACAGACCCCCTCCCCAAATCCATCCTGGTTCAGATAATTGGTAAAGAGGGTGAGAGACTGGAAATGAGAACAGCTTCAGAAAGTTGAGACAAAGTGCAGTTGATGAGTGGCTGGAATTAGTTACACCCCAAAGATAGACTGACCCTTCAGTTAGTTTATCTGACGTGCCAGGGAGACAGTGTAGTTTGTGGACGATAGTTGTCTGTATTAACTGGCCTAACTAAAATAAGTGGATAGCTTCTGCTTCTAGGAGAAACTTGGCAAAGGAAAAAAATCAAGATTTTCTGCAATAGAGGAAATAAAGGTAGAAATATGTGGAGTTGTATCTAAGCCATTTGCTACTTTTGAGGTTGGGGCTAAGACTGGATAGTTCTAGGGGAGGTTTAAAATTCCCTGGCCTTCACAGATACTATGCCTCTCAAAACTGTCCCTGCCTTGGTGGCTTTTGCCCTTGGATACTAGCTGCCTCTTGTTTCTAATATTCCAGCGGATGTACATATGATATCGGAGCAAATAGCTTACTGATATTTTTAGCTTTCTTATTCTCATTTCCAGAAAGCCTGAAGGGTACTATGAAAATGGCTACTTGGGCATATAATTTAAGGGAGTGGGGAAAGTTGTGATTCAGATGCAGTGCATGGCAGTGAGCTGCGCTAATCAGAGTGATTTGCCCACCTCTCCCCCACCCTCCTTCTGCTCCTTCACAAGTGCAGGTTCACTTCCTGTTTCTTTCTTAAATAAGCTTGAATTTGTCACTCAAGGCATAAAGTTGAGGCAGCTGCCAGTATATTTTTGCAGTCAAATTCTGTGGTATCAGAAAGGGTGATGAGTCATGAATCAGAGTTCCAGAACCCTTCTTTGGATTCTGATTTGTTGTTTGTGGTACTGGGGATTGAACTCAGAGCCTCTCACTAAGCTATATGCCCAGCCCTTTTTTATTTTATTTTTAAATTTTGAGACAGGGTCTCGCTAAGTTGCTATGTTGGCCAGGCTGCACTCAAACTTACAGTCTTTCTGCCTCAGCCCTCAGAGTGCTGGATTATAGGCATGGACCACCATGACCCACCTGGATTCTGATTTCACAAATGAGAATCCTGGTTCAGAGGGTTAATGACTTGCCCCAGGTCATTTACCCTGCCACAGATGCCAACAGGAAAAGAGTCCAGTTCTCCAGTTCTCCAGTTCTCCTTGTCCTCATTATTGTTCTTTATTCCACACCCTGCTGTCCTCCAATCACTGCCTTTTGCCTTGCATGCCACCTGTTTATATCCTTAAGCTTAGCCTGTCCATTAGTGGAAGAGAGATATTTATCATAACAATAATAGTTGACATTGATTTAGTGCTCTCTGTATTGGAAATACAGTGTTTAGAGTCCAGCTTCTGAAGGAGAATATACAGGTGGAGGCTTAGAGAGTCCAAGTGTTTTGTCCAAGGTCACATCCCTGCCAGAGGGCCAGAGCCCTGGATTTTTTTAGTTGTCATTTATTTCCTCCTGTAAGCTGTGTGGACCTATTTGTTTTCCTTGGTCTTGAGAATCAGTGTTCTGTACATACATCATTTCATGGTGTATCTATTTTGTCCTCAGAAAATTTGTGGGAAACAGCTATCTAACCTACTGTATTTATACACAATTCAAAGCAGAAATTGTAAAAAATGAAATTTAAAAAAACTTAAAACATTTCATTTTAATTTACAGTATGGCCACTTCTTGAGATTATTCAAGATTGCTCAAAATTAAAATTCTAGCAACAAGTTATAACATGTCAGGAACATATTTCTCCAGTGCAGGTCAGAGTCTGCTGTTCCTTAGCAAGTGGGCCATTTAGAAATGAAGTTAATGAGGACCTTTGATCACAGTCAGCACATTTAAACAGAGCTGTGGTTTAAATTGCTAACAGCAGCTTATCTGACTTTGCAGAAGTCACAGGGAAAACTTAGTTATCTTGTGCCAACTATTAACTGGCTTTCAAGACACTATAACCTTGAATAAATGAGGTAGAGACTTTTGATATTTAGATGCTTTTATAATTCAAAGTTCTTCTAAAACATCTTCCCTGAAGTTCATTTTATCCCCCTACTAAAGACGTATGAAAATTTCTGCTGCTTTTCTTAATTCTAATAGTAAGCGTATGGAAAGAAAAGCATCTCCATGGTTCTGAGTGCAGAGCTCTCTGTCTGCATCAGGATAGCACCGAGGGTAACGTTCTGGAGCCAGGCGGATGGAGCTGAATCCCAGTCCTACTCGGAGACCCTGGATACATTATTTCAACTTTCTTTCCTCACCTATAGAGATAATAAATTATACCTCATAGGCTTATTGTGAAGGCTAAATGAATTCATTCATCTCTGCACATTAGCACAGCCTGGTACAATAAAGCTGTGATTATTATGCTATAAGTCATTAAATTTCAGAATAAACAGAGACCCTAGAAGCCATCTGTTTGGCACCCCCTTTCTTCCTGAGGGCTCAGAGGAAAGTCATGTACCCCAGTATATAGATTTTTCCACCCAGAGCTTGTTTTCTGGCTCCCTGGGGTATGTGTCATATTCTAAGAGTAGTGACATAGAAGGCCCCAGAGCAAATCCTATGCTCTCGCTGTGTCACTGCCTGTCACTTCCAGCCTTACCTTCCACTAGGTCTCGGTCCCTTTCAAGGACACTTTAGATATGGACTGCTTTCTTCGGACAGTTTTTTTCTCTATCATTTACTCCTTCCCTCCAGATAACTTTTAAAAAATTGGATATTAGATCAGTTAACAGGTCCTGAGAATCAGGAAGACATTCATCCCTGAACCTGCTCATGTGTAGGGGAGGAGATGGTGGAGTGACTTTTGGATATGGGCTCCTAGGTCCACAGATGCACAGAGGGGCAGCACGTGTTCCCCAGGAACAGCTGGAGGCTGCAGAGAGCTTCTGAGGAGCACTTTCTGCCCAGTGAGAGTCCTCACCCAGGGTGAGTTTCAGGGTGACCTGGGTCACCTTGTTGAGGACACATCGCCTGTCTCTTTGCAGGGGTTGCTCGCTCTCTCTGCCTGCACTGTCTCTGTCAAAGACACATCTTCCTAAGGTGGTTGGTCCTGGACACCACGAGTTGACCTGTTTCTTTTCTTCCCCCCTGGAGCAGACCTTGGAGCTCTTGAGGACCTGACCTCCAAGCTTCCTCTCCTGCACCTGTCTGGGGGAATGACACTGATCACGAGTGAACTCACGGTTTGCGCATTATGAACTGGAAGGTGAGGACAGTTTTAAACAGTGATGGCTTGGGTTTTTCTTTTCTCCTTGTATTCGTCAGCTTTTGGTCACTGTAACGAAATATCTAAGATAATCTGCTTATAAGGGGAAGGGTTTTATTAAACTTATAGTTCTGGAGATTCTGGTCAAAGATGGGGCAACCATTGCTTTGGGCTGGTGGTGGTGGTGCCCGGTGACAATGCCAGGGAGTACATGGTGGAGCAAAGAAGCAAAAGAAGACAGACTAGGGTCCCACAATCCCCTTTGAGGTCTTGCCTGGGTGATCTAGACTTCCTGCTAGGCCCCATCTCCTCAAGGTCTACAACATCTCCCAAGAGCGCCACCCTGAGGACCAAACCTGTAACACATGGGATCTTCAGGAGACATTCAGCGTCCAAACGACAGCACTCCTAGTTCTAAAAAGAATAGAGACCTGTAGAAGCAGATTAGCTAACAGAGAAAAAGATGAACACATAGTATATTTTATGTGTTATTTTTTAAGTTAAAACACATTAATGTGCATGTATTCCCCAGACTTTGGGAGGAAGGCTAGGCCTTTCTTTGAATGTGCAACTGCTAACTTCAGATTGGTCTGTTTTCTTGAAAACAACATACCTTTAAAGTTTCACATTTTGGTTTCTTTAAAGAAATGTAATGAGTGAATGTTTGTGTTCCCCTAAATTTATATGTTGGAATCCTAATCCCAATGTGATGGTGTTTGGAAGTGGATCCCGGTGGAGCTGATTAGATCAGAGGACAAAGCCCCCAGGAATGGGATTAGGGCTGTTATATAAGAGACACCACAGAGCTTCTCTTTGATTCTTCCATGTGAGAATATAAGGAGTGTGGAGTCTGCAGCCTAGAAGGGGCCCCTCTCCAGAAGCCAACTGTACTGTATCTCAGACTTCCAGCCTTCAGAACCGTGCAAAATAAATATCTATTGTTTATAAGCCAGTTATGGTACTTTGTTATAATAATCAGAATTGACTAAAACAGAGATCTGTAGGTCTTATAAAGCAATCTACATATAAAATTTCCCAGATTTTTATGACCCTCTACCCTAATCTTTTATAGTTGTCTTGCAATAGCTTTTTTTTTCCTTATGGGAACTTGAGACTTTCAAAGCATTCAACTTTGTGTTCGTGGAAACAACTTTATTTATAAGTCATAAATAAATCACCCCAATGGAGCATCAAGTACAGCGTGAACTGGCTGGGGAGTAAACACAAGTGGCCCCTATAAAATGTTAGGTTTAGTCGGTGAGAGAAGAAGTTCAAGGGCAACCAGAGAGTAGCCCCTGGCTGTCTGCATTCAGAGGGCCGGGGACAGCCACACTTACAGAGGGTAAAGAGTATCAGTTTAAATTGCAGAAGCCAGTAGTGTGAGGCGGTTGGTCAAGAGAACAGCCACTAATAGAAATGTTTATTGTAGCCACCTTACTAAGAATAAGTTCAAACAGAAATCATGCATCTTCTCGCTCTCCAGAGACAGCTACTGTTTACAAGCTTGGTGTAGTTTCTTCCAGCATTTTTTCCATATATATGAGTGTGGTATGTGTATTTGTCAAGTGTGGGATCTAACTGTATTTTTTCAGTGATTACAAGCGCTTCCTTGTTCAGAACGTCCAAAAGAGACCTCCTTGGGTCAGGTTTGAAGCTCAGGAGCAGAGTGCTTGGCTGGCAGTAACAGTCAGCATTACTTGTGTGATAGCAGCAAATGTGGCCTCAATATTTAAAAAGTTAGCCATTCCCATCTCACAGGCATTAGGGTTTTGTTTTTAAAAATAAGCCTCAGTGTGGTCTACACCAGCAAGAGTCACTTTCCTCCCTGAAAGTCTGCGTGTTTTGCGAGATGAAAGGGTTTGGTAGAAGGAAGTCAGAAGAGGAGTTTGGACACGGCTGCAGCTCAGTACCCTGACAAAAGACAGAAAAGGAGCCCAGAGCTTGTGCTTTTGCCCTTCAATGTTCTTGACCTTTGCTGCCGTCACTCTGCCTCTGCCTCAGCCCTGAAATTGCTGCCTCTTCCCCTTTCCTCTCCACTTCTTTGTTTTTTTTTTTGTTTTTTTGTGGTTTTTTTTGGTACCGGGGATCAAACTCGAGTCCTTGCATTTGTGCAGCAGGCAGCGAAACCACTGAGCTAAATCCCCGGCCCCTCTCTACTTCTTCTTAAAGGAAGTAAATATTGAAACCACTTGGCTCTGTCCACTAGGTGATATGTATCCTTTTGATTAGGCTTTCGAACTTCTGGTTGAGATAGTTTGATCCTGGAACCGCTACAGCTGAGTTTTGGATTTAGGTCACTGAGGGCCATGGGTCTTCAGCGAGTCAACTACAGAAATGCAGAAACTTGAAAGAGAGTCACTTGTTCCAATAGGAGTCAGTGCTCTGGCCAGCCTAGAACAGCCATAAACATAAGGGGTTATAAGACAGCAGCATTGTACATTCTCCTCCTAGCTGGTTTGTATACACGGAGTCAGACTTTCACCTCTATAGTATGAACCTTCAGGAGATCAGAGGAAAAGAGACCCTGTTGGAGTCGGGGGGTTAGCCCAGGTCTGGGGAACAGGAGTCTGGCAGCCAAGGCAGCAGGGTAAGCTGCTGTGTTTCCAGAAGCTCCTCTTCTGTAACTTTTGTACTTTTATACAGTCGTCCGTGATCATTTTAAGTCCATACAATGAGTTTATTCTTTACTGTTAAATGATTTAGTGGTTGAAAACTTCCCTTGCTACTGAGTGTCCCTACTGTTTTAGTAACAGTCTGGATATTTGGGGTCCCCCTGTCCCATTATATTCTCTGTGTTCTTACTACATCACATTGCAACCTTTCTCAGCCATATATAAATAATTTCAGAGATATCAAGTTCAGCTGCCTTTGGTAAATTCAGTAGCCAAGGCATTGTTGATCTGCATAATGAAACTGTAAAATTGACGGAGTGGGGAGAGCGTGGTATGTATCTGTTACTGGGTAGGGCCGTGATAGAGTCAGGCTCTGGAGCAGCCGGAGCTGCTTAGACCCTCCCCTACCCATTACCAACCTCCGCCTACTTTGTATGTGTGCTTCATGGGGCTATAGAGAGGGCAAGGAGAAGAGCCACTTGGGTTCCTACTTCACAGGAAGTTCCTATGCCCTGTCCTCTATATGTAAAATCCACTTCCAAGTCTGAATCATAACGAATTTAGATAAAATTATAGGAACGTGTGTGTATATAGATGGTGGTTCCGTTACCTCCATGTCATTGAAAATCAAATCAGTGGGAAGGAGCCTGTTCAGGGTTAGAATGTTCCACTACACCTCTGGCTGCAACATGGACATCCCTGTGACATGGGCGGGGCTCTCAACCTCCAGGAGCCTTCCTTTCCGTGTTTGAGAAATGAGGTAGAGCTGGGTATGGTGACCCATGCCTGTAATCCAGCACTCTGGGAGGCTGAGGCAGGACAGTTGTAAGCTCAAGCCACCCCGGGCAGCTTAGTGACTTAGGGAGACCCTGTCTCAAAATAAAAATAAAAAGGGATAGGCATGTAGCTCAGTGGGAATGCTCCACATTCAATCCCTGGCTCCATGAGGTGGGAAAAAAATCAAGGTGGTACAGGAGAGTATCCAAGTCTTTTTCAGCCCTCCAGTTGCGTGAGCATTTGTGTCAGCTAAAGTGCTCACTAACGAGTTTTGACTTTAGGTAAACTATTAGAGCAAGATTCCAATGTAGTCCTTGTAGAAAAATCTCATTTTATTGGTATTACATATAATAAGTGATGTTAGGCAATTTAACCTAATGATTTCACTGGGATAACTCCTACCTAGTTCTCTAAGGTAATGATTATCCAACCAAAACCCATCTTTTCACTTTATTTGGGAAGGAATTTTAACCACACAAAAGCCCGTAATTATCATTCAGGTCGTACTCACCATGTTTATGACACCAGTCCAGTATTTGCTTTGAGATACTATTGTGATATATAGAGGTTCATAATAAAATTGGCTACTGTAGAAGGTGTTATCCACAGACTTCCTTTTAGCCAGTGGGTTAGAAGTTTCCCTCCAACAGGAAATTACAGGGACAATTACTAAGAGTTAAGTTTTAACGTTTGGAGTTTTACTATATTTTGTTTTACCCTCCAGTGGTAGTGCTAATGAGTCTTTGGAACCAAGAGAATGGTCGTGTACTAAACAGGGAGGTCTGGTCCAGCTCTCAGTGCACGGAAAGAGGTAGAAGCTCCAAAAGATGCAGTGACCGGCCCAGGTCACACAGTGAGTGAGTGGCAGAAACCTCCGGATGCAGCTGCCTGGAAGCAGGGTGCTTGGCTCGTGGTCCACAAATGTCATTTATCTGTGACATTTATGTTATGTCTAGAGTTGATGGGTGTTCCTTTCTGTAACGCCAAGAGCAAAGGGGTGAGGATGAGCAGAGTTGCTGGTGACACGGGACAGGGACCTTGCCTGCTTGGCCCCAAGGGTAGCCCCAGCACCTAGCTTCCCGCTTGTGGCCTGATTGGTGCCCAGTAAATATTTGTGGAATGAAGGAATATGAAAGAAACATGCTATCACTGATCGAACACTCAGGTGGTTTCTTTTTTCTTGAAGGTTCTCGATCACGTGCCCCTGCTGCTGTATATCTTGGCAGCAAAGACGCTGATTCTCTGCCTGGCATTTGCTGGAGTGAAAATGTACCAAAGGAAGACACTGGAAGGAAAACAGCAAAAACTGGAGGTTGAAAAGAAGCAGTCAGAGAAGAAAGATAACTGAAGGGAAATCGAAGGTTCTCAGGCTTTGTAATCCGGTGGGTTGGGGCAGGCTGATCAGTGGGCGAGAGCACACCTGCCCCTTGGGCCCCAGGGCCCACCTGTCCGCAAGGTAGAACTCTGCGCAAGGGCCTGCCTGCTGCTGGGCCACAGTGATCGGAGTTCATGCCCTCTGCTCTGAATGGGCAGAGATCCCTACAGGGTGGGTCCAGGGCTCCAGAGCACAGGACCTTCTGCCTGGAGACACCCCTACTACAGAACCCCAGGTTGTGGGTGAACTTGGTGATTGGGTGGGGAAGGAGGAGGTGGGGACTCACAGGCCATTCGAAGCCCCCAGGCTCAGGGCGCAGTCTGTGTCCTTGATATGACAGATAACTCGCTTCTCCACCTGTCCTTAACCCAGACCCTGTGGCTGCCTCCTGCCCACCCCCTGTGCTCCCGCAGGCTGTTCCTGAACCACAGCGACTCTCAAGCTCTGTAGCGTCCTAGCCTAGCTGTCCCTTCCTGCCAGTCTCCCCCTCAGCATCCTGTAGCCAGTGCCTGTCCCAGTGGGCACACAGGCCCAGAGCACGCTGTGGGATGCAAACTGCTTGCTCCAGGGAGCTGTTCCGAAGGCCCTGTTACACGCTTAACATGCCGGCAGTTTCCTTGATTCCGGCATGTCCGTGTAACGTCTTCAGTTATCCCTGTGAATTCCCTACTTCTCTAAACATGAGAGGATCCAAATACGGGGGCAGGGACTCCAGATGGGTGGATTTGAAACCTGGCTAAGGGTCAGGATTATCTGGGGTGCTCGTGAAAAACACAGCCTCCAGGCTCCAAGCTCAGGAGAGGCCAGCCGACATGTGCACCGTTGGGTCTGGGCTCCTGTTCTTTTCAAAGCGCCTGAGGTGAGTCTTAAACAGCACCCCCTGCAGCAGCTCACTGTAGGCAACACTGGGTCCGCGGCCCCAAAGCTTCCTGCTGGGGTCCCGTGGGTCCGGAGGCTCGAGGAAGGATGGATCTGGGCCAGGCCCTCTGCTGCACATGTCCCACCCTGCCGTGCCATTCAGTCCTGACAGCCCCATGCATGCCATGGTGAAAGAATGGCTCACACAAAGCCATAACGGAGCCCAGGCCCAACGCAGGGAGCCTGGGCGCTGAGCCCTGAGCTGCTGCACCTTCGGGAATGCACAGAAGTGAGCCTGCAAGGGCTCTGTCGCTCACCCTCCGGCACCTGCCGCTGCACGCTGCTCCTCAGTGAGCTATGGGCCTTTGCCAGCCAAAGTTTCTGTCCTGGAATCCCGGCCCTCAAAAGATGTTTTTTGAACTGAAACTCAGGAGTAGGCCCAGGGTGAGCAGTTGAGAAAGGCAGGGAAGGCAGCTGTGGTTGAAAAGTGGTCAACTGGGTCGATACTCCAGACAGAGCCATCCTGGGAGAGAAACCGAGAAGCAGATGGGAAGGTCGGGTGTGAGATCATAAACACCTCTTCCCTCCCAAAGATGTCCTGAAGATGTCCTGATGATGTTCAGGATCGGTGGGGTAAGGTGGCCTCTTGCATAGCTAAGCTTAGAATCGACCACAGCAGTCCGCCTTCCTCCCAGGAGACTGGAGCTCTGCTTCACACAAAAGTGATTTTCAGGTAGAAGGAAAGTTATGCTTCTAAAAATACTTCCGTTAATAGATAAACTTGAGTGGTTTCCACTTGTTAGGTCTAAATGCTCAAACATAGGGTTAATGTTAAGCAAGTACAACATTGGCTACTATTTTTTCTTTTTGTTTTGTTTTTTGAGTCAAGGTCGCACTATGTAGTTCAGGCTGGCCTTGAACTCACTGTGGAGCCCAGGCTGGCCTCAAACTTGTGGTGACCCTCCCGCCTCAGGCTCCCAAGTGCTGGAATGACAGGTGTGCACCACCACACCCAGCCTATTTACTACTATTTTATCAGACTTTTCCAGCTATCCCTTTGGTTTTTCTTTCTAGATTTTGCCTTTTAAATGTCAGCCTTGGTGGACTCCAGCTGAGCAGAAAGAGAAGAAAGAATTACTGAATGATGTGTCAGAGGATAAACTCCCAACCTATAGTTTTAACTCAATGTGAATTTTTATATACTTTTAAAAAACCAGTATTTTGTTTAGTAAAATAAATACCTTTGTAAAAAAAGTCTGTCTCTGATCCTTGGAGTAGGTTATAGTGTATGTGTGTCTGGCACACACACACGCACACCCTTCCCCCAGCACTTCCTTGCGGAGGGTCGCAGATCCTAAGTGAATGTCCACTGCCATAGACGCAGCACCTCCTGTACACTTCCGCAGTGCACTTCGCTTTCATCACGAGTGCATTTTCACTACTGGGAAGGAGGAGCTGTGTGGGCCGCCTGTTGGGGAAACTTGGTTCCTGTGCTGACCCAGGAGAATCCTTGAGGGGAAGAGTTGCAGGAGAGTGAGTCTGCCCTGCTGAGTGTGGGAGGAGTTCACTTCCTGAGTCCTCTGCTGACTGGGGATGAGGAGCCCCAGGCCGTACCCCCACCACCCTTACTCCTTGGATGGAGACAGCAGACTTCAGAGAAGAGGAATGGTGAGCTTTTTACTAAGCACCTAGTAGATTGAGACCTCTTAAAAAGCGTGTGGCACACAGCTGTCATCCCAGCACCCAGGAAGCTGAGGGAGGAGGATTGCCCTGAGTTCAAGGCCAGCCTGGACTACACAGTGAGACCTGGTCTCAAAGAGCAAAAAGATTTGGATTCTTTCAAGCTACCAGAGTAGAGGCGGAGTAAGGACAATAACCAGAGCTGTGAGTGCTGGGGACTGCTGCGTCTCATTGCCAACAGCCACATGGAAAGTTGCATGAGTGTATGTTAACAGATGTCTGTCTGCCCCACCCAGTTGGGTAGAACATGAGGAGCAAAGGGAGTTATATCATCTTTCTTCAAGTTTGCTGTGATTACTGAATGGTCATTATCGGCATTTAGAAAGTAGGAAAGAATTCACATAGGATCAAAGTTCTAAGTATCGAATGGACCCAGAGCCCGCAAGCTAAATATCAAGCTAACCACAGGGGACTTTCCCTTCAGCTCCCACCCCAGCCCCGCTGTCGGAGGCTGCTCCAGCCTTTGCTTAGGAGCCCTGCTGCTGCATTCTGACTAGCCCTGCTGTGCCCCGGGAGGCTGCTGGATGGTGAATGCATGATTGCATGGCATGCCCAGAGGGGGCCTAGAACTGACCCTGGCCATGGCCCACCCTCCTGCCGGTCAGGGCCCCTCGGCAGCCTGCCAGGTGATCTCACCTAGTCTGCTCCAGGGCCTTGGCTGGCTGACCACTCCCAGCATGGCTGGGCACCGCTTCTTCCCACGTGTACCCACCCATGTTCCTCCCAAATCTGAGACAGTCTGTTGGCTTTTGGTAGAGTATGAAAGTCTGACCAGGGGTATATTTGTGCTTGTCCTGAACACAAGTGGTTTTCTAGGCTTTGGGACTTCAAGCTCAACTTTGGAATTGGTGGAACAACTGGTCATCTTGGACAGATTGGTAGAAGATGACTCAAGAGTCAGACTAAACCACTAACTGCACCCATGGGTTTTCTGTAAACAGGGTTTGGGATTTTCTGATACCTTCTCTATGCATTCTTTTACCACTAGGCGGAGATGACTAATCATTAATTGGAGTCACTGCTCTCATTACAGTGCACATATAATTGACATTGGGAGATTTGTAGTTTGGTTTTAAATAACTAGTTGGAAGTAGGTACAGTATGTAGGTAGATAGATAGGTTGATAAAACCAACAGCCAGGACCCCTATCTGGACCCCAGTTAGCCAGCAGCTCTTGAGACAGTAATTGAAAACACATGAGACAACTGTCCTTGGGTAGATGAAACTGTCACAAAGCATAAGCTAAAATCCATGCTCCCTGCCCGCAGGATTTCACTAGGATCCCTCATGCAGATCCTACTTAACTTATCACACTGATCTCTACCACATCTCTGATTTTCAAGCCTGCGACACAGGAGATGCAGAAAGGAAGATAACATGTTGACAGCAGAGGTACCTGAGGGCAAGAGGCACGCGCTGGCCCGGCCTGAGAACTCCTGATCTCCACGTGCCACGGTGTGGTGGCCGACAGCCCCATGTGATGACAGCGTGTCCACCCCGGTGACTTTAGCAAGAAGAGGTTAAACTGTTTCGTATATTCTGCTTTAAAAGGCAGAGACGTACATAATGTATTTCAGAAACCAAGTACTCCAGGATTCTTTAAAAGCAGTTAGTTACCTCTCCCCGAGCTATCTTGAAATTCTTACGTATAAGGTACCAAAGCTGTTTTGACGACTCATTTCTAAAGGTTCTAGGTGCCTGGGCCTTGAAGCTTTCCAGAATAACATCTCACCTTCCTTTGATTTACCCCAGGATCACTGAGTTTTGTGGAGCGGTGGCTCACGGGATGCTGAGATGGGATGTGGCCAGCCTGACACTGGGGGGCGCGTGTTCTGCTGCCAGGAACACGTGAAGGAGGCTAGAAGAGGCTTCCTGTGGCCTGCAGCTCCAGGCTCCTGGGGGCAGGTCCCCTTGTCCTACTGAAACCACAGGAGCAACACCCAGAAGCTAGAAGGAAAAAAGAATGGAGGAGCGGTTCCTGGGCTGGTCCAGATCCACTGCCTCAGAACCTGTGAGAGAGAGGACAAGCATTCATGGTTTGACATCCGGGTGATTCCCTGGGAAGCATCCCCTTCAGCCCTTATTCTTCATTTACTTACATCTCTCACCTCCCATCAGCCTCCCAGCAGGGAAATATTAACCTCATCTGCTTTTCACAAATCAGGAAACAGAGAGAGAGGTTCATTGCCATAAGGTTCCCCAGCAGGTGGGAGACCAAGACAGGAGTTAGGCCTCGGGGGTCTGTACTTTTCACCATCGAGCTGGTGGGACTGAGCCAAGTAAAGGAAGACAGGCAAAGTCCGTGTACTTCTGAGACTGGTCAGAAAGCTCTCCCCAGCAGCGTCAGTGACATGTAGGACCTGCAGCCAGGATGGTAAGTTGAGGAATCAATGGGATGTGAGAAAGAAACAGTTCCAGACTTGCATTATTGTGGGCGCGCGCGCGCGCGTGTGTGTGTGTGTGTGTGTGTGTGTGCATGCGCGCACCTCCACTCCCACTGGGCTATGCCTGCCAGAATGGTGGGTTGTGTAAAGTGCAAGGAAACAGAGCAACGGGGGAAATGTATTTCCCTGGTATTGGTTAATACAGTACCAGGCACTTTTTCTTGTAAGTGTCAGCAGAGCCAGGTGGGCTGGAATTGCCTGTTTTCAGGAGAAACTGATCTGTTTGGGGACCTATCTGCTTCCTTCAAGCTTCAATTTAGTGATGTGGCTTTCAGCATGAGTGACTCCATTTTGGCTTGGTCTGCCCCGTGGGTGTAGCCTGGGAGCTCAGTCCACAACACTGGCCTTTCCTTGTTTTAGACATCGGATGAGGGATAGACTGCGTGCACCTGTGTGCCTCTGTGCGGGCTGTCTTCGTGTCCTTTTTCTCCCTGTGATGAGGACTTTTCCTCAGTCCTCGGACCGTGTAACTCTTCCTGTGACTCCATAGCAGCAGGCCCTGCACTCTGGGCCCTTGCTGCCCAGACCTCTCACTTCTCAGTGAGTGACTGAGAATCACTACCCTGTCACAAACCCCGGCCGCCTGTTTTCCCTGGCACCTTGGCCCTGGCCCACACTGCCAGGCACATGGAAAGTGCTCCAATGCTTGTGAGTCCATGGCTGGCAACGTCAAAGGAAGGGGAGTAGGAAACATGCCCAGGTCTGCTAATTGCCTCAAGACACCTTCTCCCTCACCCCAGCAATAATCTGAGTTTTTAACCTGGCCCTATTTCCACCAAAAGAAAGGCTGTCATTTTTCAACTTGCCTTGTGATTCAGTCTGGGCCACCAGATTCAAGTGGAAATGTTATGATAGGACTTCCTGGCAGGTTCCTTAAAAGGGATGAGATGAATCCTCTTCCTCCTTTTCTCTTTCACTGCCTGGAATGCTAATATGATGGCTTGTTCAGCAGCCATTTTGAACTATGAGGTGACTTTGAGGTCTGCACCAAGTGTAGGATAATGGAGTTCAGAGACATGGAACCTGGGCTCTTGATAACCGTGAGCTTATCACCTCACTCCTGAGCTGCCGCCTTGTTGGTAGAGATGGGGTGCCTTGTATTTTGTTGACGTTGGTGCGGACTGCTTATAGTCTAACCTAGTCCTAGCTGGCACAGGAAGACTTGGAATCTGGTCCTCACGCTCCTGTAACTGGTTGTGTATGTCTAAGTGAGTCACTTACTATCCCAGCCTTGACTTTGTAGAGTGAGCTTGATGATCATCGCCCTGCCTTCTGTAGATGCTGTGGTGGTCCAGTCCATAGAAGACTGTATGGGCAAAATAATCACACCTGGAAGGGGTGTGTGCCGCCTGGGTGGGCCAGGAGGGGCTCCATCCTCCCCATGTGCTTACTTTTGGGCTTGTTCCAGGGACAGCACCATTGTCTAATGCGCACCTCCTTGGGAGTCACCTGGCCCATGAAGTGAGTGGGGATGTACTTGTTGGTGATGGCAAAGGCCAGGTGAGGATGGGATGTCCCACAAGCCACCAACCTCAGGAACCCTGTGCCATCTTATCTTCAGGTGTGGGGCTCACCCAGCAGTGCTGTGCATTGGCGCCCATTTTAATGTTGTGCAGTGTGTGAAACATGGCTTTTCCCAAAGAGATTCCAGGCTCCCCGTGCCATTCCGACCAGAAGAAGCCTCTTATCTTTATTGATTCTCTAACCGATTGCAGATGGTCTTGAAAGAAATGTCAGAGAACAGTTTTCTCTGATCAGAGTGTTTTAGGATGTGCCTGCTCTTGCATCCCGATGATAAAAAACAGCAAAAATATTCTTCAAAGGGGAAAAAGGAAATGAGGTCAGGGACCATAAGTCTAATTCTAGACACATTTATTTTGATCTCAGCCTGGACTCTAATAATCGGGCTTCAGCTTTTCGAGCACTTAGGTGCTAGCCACAATGTAATGGCTTGGCATATATGACATCTGTACTTTACTAATACATTAGTTGGATCTCAGGGAAGTAAAGCAACTTACTCAAAGTCTCATAGCTAGTAAACTGCAAACTTGAGATTCCAACCAGGTTCACTGGATTCCCAAAGCCCAATGTACTTTCTGTTACTTCCGGTTGGAAGTTTCCATGCTTGATATAAAGCAATCTCTTAATGATGAAACCAATCTTATATAACTAAATTGCACATTAAATGTAGCCCTTTTGATCTCTCTGGATATATTGATGTTCTCTTTCCTCTGCTTGCTTTCCTAAGGATTAAACAAGGCTTCAAAGCAGTAGAACTCCCAACTCATTTTATTAAATTGTTTTGGTTTTCAAACAAAAATAGCTCATGCTGGTTTATCTCATTCATCTGATAACCTAAAAACATTCAATTATTTTTCTCACTGAAAAATAATATAACTTTAAAAGGTTATTCTACCTCTTCTTCAATTTTGCACTGAAATCCATTTTTGCTGTGATGTCCAGATGTGGTTGGCAATTTTGCCAGTTGCTATCTGGTTTCCTTTTCTTGTCATATAAATAAGTAAAAGCTAGGCCTTGCTAGCCAAGCTAAGCATGGTGGCTGGGAGCATAGGCTTTAGCATCTGACAGCCCCAGTGACTTCCTATGTCTCAGTTTTCTTGTCTGTCAAATGGGGAGAACAATAGCACCTGCTTAGGGTTTTTAGGATTAAATGAGCTGCCCATTGGTAGAGAGGTGGCTTGGTAATGGCTAACCACGAACTCAGTTTGAATCTTGGCTCTTTATACAGCAGCAAGTTACATATTCTGTCTGGGCCTCAAGTTTACACATTTATAAAATGTGGATAACAGTAATTTCTAGATTCTAGTCTGTTGTGAGGATTTAAATAGGTCAACTCATTTAGTTCAATGAGTAACTGGTGTACCTAGACACATACACAAGATGTAATAGAAGGGTCAGAATCAGACTCCAAGGCTTCCTAGCTGGAAGCCCTCACACCATGTCTTACTGGATCCATGTGTAGCTGTGAGTGCTTATTATCCCAGAACTTGGGTAGATGTGCAGTTAAGTGTGAAGTGGGGGCAAACCCCACTCATATCCCCCAAATCAGTCCACTTGTACTTGAATCTGTACAGTGTGATAACACACTGAAGTGGCCAAGGAGGTTTATATACTATATGAGTCAGCTGTCTGTTGAGGGGGAAAATATCTGACATATATAATTTAAAAGATTATTTAATTTGAAAGATTTATTTTGGCTCCTGGTATCAAGAGGTTTTAGTCTGTGCTCTACTGGCTCCAAGGAGAAATACCATGGCAGAATGGAGAAAGTTATTCACTTCCTAACAGCTAAGAAGCAAAGAAAGCAGGAAGAGGCAGAGAGAGAGGTAGAGAGAGGGAGAGGGAGAGCGAGAGGGAGAGGGAGAGAATGAATTGGGCCAGGGGCACCGTTGGAGAGTGAGGCCCCACCTCCTAACAGCACACTCAGCCATGAAGTTACCAATGCATTAATTGATGAGGTTAGCTCTCTATGATATAATCATGTCCTAAAAGCCCCACTTCTGAATGTATGATCCTTTTGGGGGGACATTTTTAATCCAAATCCTAACAATACTTGATCTCAATTACTTGATCTCAAGGAATTTAAAACCTAAAATATATGTGAAAGAGAAAGATCACATTAATATACTATATAATAAGGGTTGTTTCACCAAGTTAATTGTCAGTGGGAAAAGCACTATTTCAATAGGCAGAAAAATTTTTTAAGCAGCTGTGATTGACTGAATAATGGTCCCTAAAGGGATCCAAGTTCTAGTCTCAAGAGCCTGTTACCTTATATGGAAATGGAGTCTGTGATTATGTTATCAAGAGAAGAACTTTGACATTTGGAGATGATTCTGGATTATCCAGATGGGCCTTTAATACAATCATTAGTGTCCATATAAGAGGGAGGTAGAGGGAGGTTTGATAGAGAAGGGGAGATAGTGATGGGGCCACAAGCCAAGGAATGTAGGCAGCCACTAGAAGTTGGATAAAGCAAGGAACAGATTTTTCCTTGGAGCCTCCAGAAGAAGCACAGCTTGCCAACACCTAAATTTTGTCTCATTGGAATTGATTTCTGACTTCTGGACCTCATAATAGAGGGAGAATAAATTTCTGTTGTTTTCAGCCACCAAGTTTGTGGTCCTTTGTTATAATTGCTTCAGGAAATTGATATAGCACCATTGGCTGTAAAGTAGGATCTGCAAGAATGGAAACTTGGTAGTGGTTGGCTGTCTTGGGTGTGATTCATTCCTAGGTAAAATAAGTACTTGGATTTCTTTTTTTACAATGACAAAAGGCTGCAGAAATCTACCACTTAGTTACCAAAAAGCCTTGAACATCTGTTTTCAGCTGACAAAGTCTTTCTGAAAAGTACAGGGAAATTCAGGAGGGAAAGAAGACAAGCAAAGAATACAATGCCTTCTGCACTTCACTATCTGAAACCCAGCCTCAGAATCTCATATATAGTTCAGCCTGTTGGAAGTTGGGTAGAAGTCTTCCTAAATTGTATTAGTCAGTTTTCCCATTGCTGGTGAAAAATACCCAGTGCCCACCACTTAAAGGAGGAGAAGTTTAATTTGGCTGGATAGATTCGGAGGGTTCAACTAGCTTCAAGACAGGAACATCATGGCGGCAGGGCATGGTGTAGCAAAGCTGCTTGCATCATGGTGGCCAGGAAGCGGAGCCCAAGAGAAGAGTGCCAGCAAGAGATGTGTCTTCTGAAGCACAGCCCCAGTGATTTGCCTCCAACTGGACCCCACTTCCTATAGCATTTCAGCTATGAACATCAGTGGGTTAATCCACTGATGAGTAGAGCACCGCCATGGTCCAGTCACCTCTCCAGGAGTCAAATCTAGTCAACAATTAAAATTAACTGGCACTTACATTATTTTAAAAGACTTTAGTTTTTTAACTATTTTTTAGTTTCACAGAAAAACAGGAAAAAGTACAGAGTTCCCATATACCTCCTGCTCCACAGCCCTCCTCATTATTCTGTATTTTTTTACAAATTTCAGAATGATTGCTACTATTGTAAAATTACTGCCTGAATATATATGACAGTGAATTTTATCATGTGTTTAATAGAGGCCGGGCTTCATTTTACAAATGTGAAAAATACAACCACAAATCCTACAGCCTCCATCAGCAGGTGCCCTAAACAGGAAGAAGGTGATGTTATACCAGCTGCAGGAGGCTCAGCTGCCGGGTCCTGGGAGGAAGCGCCATGACAAAGGGTAATGACCTCCTGTTGGGATTCTTGGAGGAGGATAAGTAGGTCACAGACCCCCATTCATGCCATCTGTTCACCCAAGTCCCACTGGAGCCATCACCACTATGTCTCCCCAGCTCCCTTGTTGGGGCCGCCAACCTGCCTTGATGGAGTTACCCTTCCTTGAATGCTTCTCATTCACCCTCCACCACTTGCTCATGAGGAAGGAAGAACAATAGGAAGGAAAGTATCTTGCTTTTCCACCACCCGGACAATGCCAAGCTGCCTCCTGGTGGATTATTTTGTTAGGCTGAAACTAATTGGCGTATTACTTAATTTTAACTTTTTTGCAACCACACATTTTGTTCTCTTTTTTCCCCCAGATTTAAATTTTGACCACACAATCTTTAGCCTTGCTCACCCAACCCATGACCATCTTATTTTGTGCAAGGTTGGCACCAATCCTCCCACTGACTTCCCTTAACAAGACGAGAGTCGAGACCACTAATTTACCAAGAAGTTTTAATGAAACTTTCAGTAAACTCAGCACTTTGTCAACATCCTTCGGAACCTCTCAATCCCCACAGCATCCCTTAGAGATAACTATCTTTGGCGGTAGTGATCCAATCTTAATGAAGTTTTTGGTAAAGATCATATGTATAGCAGAGTTTCATTGTTGGAGGAATCACTCTTACGAAAATTTCCCAAGATAGTAATTTTCCCATCTCTGTACTTTTTTAACTATTGTTTTCCATTTGCTTAAGTTTATCCTTTCAATTCCTTTGCTAATTAAATCACTGAAAAGTATATACTGGTAGGAATAGACATTGTCAGTGGACTGCAGACAAAATCCTTTCCTGTTATTGATGATAAACCATTTCAGAGAGGACCAGGCGGAGTCTAAAGGATTCAGGTAATTATATGGGGAAGGCAGAGAGAGTAGCTCATGGCCATAGAATTTGGCCACCTCTGGGCAACACACAATACTTGATAAGTTAATGACGGGTGGGACATAGAACTGAACCTCAGCCTCTCCATCTTCCTTGGGTTTTGTCTCATTCTCCTGCCTCCTCCCTTTGACCACGATGGCACATTTCCCATAAGCCTTCTTCACTACATCGCAGAACTCAAAGAAGAGCTTGTCTTCTTGCTTGGTACACAGCTCATCTCTCAGGAACATCTGGTAGTTCCAAGGCACCCATCCTTGACTGCCCCCAGCATGCACCATACACCAAGTTGGAGTGGGCAGAAAGTATCCATTACCAAAATCTTCTCCAGTGACAAGACTTTCTGGGATATCAGTTTCTCCCAAGTATACAGTCTGAAATCCATCATATCGCAGTGACTTCAGAGTTTTCAGGTACTGGAGGCATTGCTTCCTCCTGATGCTATCAAACTGACTTCTAATGATGATGTTTTTTAAAAGAGGGGTTGCAGAGTGAGGCATGGCTCCTCAAGCATTTTACATGTCTCCATCTCGGGACATCTGGTAGGTGTGGAATGATGACCTCATAAAGGGCTTTCTTACTCCTGTGCCAGTCTCCTAGCTACATATTAGATTCAAAGCATCATGGGACACACATTCATGGAACACAGCTCCCTTCTGGCCTGTATGATTCTGGAAAGGAAATACTAACCATATAAAATACTACTTTGACACCACTGCTGTCACAGGTCAAGGACAGATACTGACAAGCTTTTTACGGTGATGAACCAAGTTTCAGACTCCTATCCTTTTGGGTTCATTCAGATAAAATGCTTATTTACATCCATTCATCCATTCCAAAAGTCTTTATGGAGCACCTGCTGTGAACCAAGATTTGTGCCATGAACCTGGGGAATATTGATGGCAGGTTCTGAGAAGCCTGGAATATATGTGGTGGACGTAGTCTATGTTGTGATGTTGTGTATGTAGTTTGTGTAAGCTGCCTTCCCACCTGCATAAACAAGAGTGGTTTTTCTAGGTTGTAAAAGTAGGATATGGCAAAGAGCAAAATAAACTCATCCTCACCTATCTTCCGACTGGGCTGCCAACTCGAGGTAATTTTTAAGACATCTCTAGAAGGCACTTTTAATGTTATATGCTAGAGTAAAACAGCAGTTTCCTTTGATCTCTAGAAGTCTCTTCAGTTTCCTTTGTATTTTCTTGTCCCCTAAATCAGAGCTAAAGAAAGTTTGTAAATATGCATAAGGGATTCCCTTAGATGAAGGTATGGACAAAATGATTTCTCATGTCCTCTGCTGTTGAGCAAATGAGGTGTTCCTCTTGTCTCCTAACGAGTTTTCCTGGGACTCAGGTTTAGGCAATCCCAGACAGTGGGACTATGCTGTTGTAGTGAAGTTAACTGGAAGCATGTAGTCCCCAGCAGCCATTCCCAGCAGCAGGTTTGGGTTGATAATTGACTTCTGGTCCTTTTCTCTCAGGATTTTTCTTTTAGTAACAAAAATCACTTTTCAGACCAAATTTGTTCTCTATGTCAAAGATGAAGACCAGAACTGGGGCTGCTGTGGTTGAAGTGGTAATATTGGCCCCAGGTTCCCTGCTCAGCCTTCCCCCTTGTGCCTGCCCTGGAGTGGCAGTGGGAAACACTTTCTAGACAGTGAAGTCAATTTGAAGACAACAGTTCTTTGTCTCCCTTAGCCAATTTGCATTTATGGATTTGGGAAATTTGTTAAAAAACATGGAGAATGTATATGGAGATGTGCTGTCTTAGATGTGTGTGTAAATACGCATGTTTGCTAGTATTTTCACACAGGAACAACAGAAGAATAAAGCAAACACTAATTTAAAAATTCATGCCATTAGAAGACAGAGAACAGGAGCATGGACAAAAGAACTCTAGACTTCTTTGAATGTGCCTTGTTTTATAGTTTTAATGTTGGGAAAAAAGTATATTTTATTTTTTTAAAAAGTAATGAAAAGAAAACAAAATGATCTCTAAAAAATATATATAAAACAGAAATCAATGATCTGAGCTACTTACTATGTTAGTAACGAAAATCACAGTCATGAATTTACTTCAAATGATTCTATACCAAGTACTTTGATTTCATATTCCCTGGTGGCAAAGAAAAACACATAAAATCTAAAGCTGTGTTCAATCTTGTTATTGTTAGTAATAACATTGGTATTAAAGGAGTTAGGATGTATGTACAGGTACCAATTCCCTGCAAGGAATATAACCATTATGTATGACAAATATGTACTAATAAAAAAAGGCAAAAAATCCAAATAGATACTAATATTATGATTTTGAAACTCCTGTCCATTTTATGATGCAACAAATAAAAACACTTAGATAGGTAATGATGTTAGTATTCAAGATGTGCAGCCTTCAAAGTAAAAATATAAGGGAATTGAAGATACCAGTGAGAATAATGATTTATTATCTTGTTTGAAAATTATTTATTTTCTACCTCTATCCGCTGAAAAGACAGAGAAGGCTGAACAACTTAGTAGGAATGGCTGTTCCTACCCCCGTGTTCTAGATGTCTTCTTACTAAATAAATCAGGGCTCCTTTGAGTCTAGCCTGGGAAGGGAAATATATAAGATGAGCTTGAGGCGTCTCATTCAGCCTGAAAGAAAGGAAACCACTTGTGATCCCAGGCCCTTTTGAAAGATCCCAGGGTCAATGAAAAGGATGCCCAAAGATGGACGAACTTGAACACCCATCAGTCAGTCAGTTAATAGTGACTGCAATAAATTCAAGCAGAATGAAAGTATACAAATCTGTGAATTCATAATGATATAGAAAATAAACAATGCAAACATGCTTTAAAAACCCTTTAGTTACCTTTGGAGGTGTCTTTGAAGGGCAGCATTGCATTATTTTGCCCATTAGTAAACAGAAGAAGCCAACACTTATCTTGTGCTTCCTTGAATGGATTCTAAGTCTGAGAGGGAAGGGCTGGATGGAGAGCCCAAGTGGGTGTCAGGAAGGTGGGACATAGGCAGGGTAGTGAAGTAAAGATGATCCAAGTGCAAGATCTGTGAGTAGAGGTTATCTGTGAGCAGATAACCCCTGGGTTAAATCTCAGCTGCCTCCTTCACCAGCCTCATCTTCCTTGTCTACAAAATGGGGAGAACATCTACGTCATGGTACTGAGTTGAGAACTAATGAGGTGGTGCACACAATATCTTGCACAGAGCTGACTAACTGGCTGCCGTTATTGTGGAGAGACTGGCTGAGTAGGCAGACCTCAGAGCCATTGCCAGTGCCTCTGTAGAGAAAAAGAAAAATGATGATCAAGAACAGCAAAACACAAATGAACAAAATAAAAATAAGAGTAAAATAAAATAAAAATTGACCAATGTTGAAATGAAACAAATTGTTCTGCACCCGTGGCAAAAGTAGAAAATGTTCCTTCACTCCTTTCCCTTCCTTCTCCCTCTATTTCTCTTTTTCATCAACACTGAGCTACATACCTAGGCCTTTTACGTTTTTTTAATTTTGAGACAGGGTCTTGTTAAGTGGCTAAATCACCCAGGCTGGGCTTGAGCTTGTGATTCTCCTGCCTGTCTCCCAGAGTGCTGGGAGTACAGACCCCAGCGGGGTAAATGGTTGCCTACTCAGTTCCATTTCTCTTGCTCTCCTTCCCAACAGTTTACTGAGTCTGGTTTGGATGTTCATCCACCTCCCACGAAGCTCAGGTTCTTTGGGAAGAATGAAGTCGTACCAACTCCTGATTCAGGATTGGGCCAACAAGCTCATTCTCCCCAGTCCATTTCTGTGTTTCAAGGGGTTGCTTGCTATCTAACTACCCCCTAGACAAACCTCAGGATTCCTGCTTGGAGTCCTGAGCACTCAGGCTGTCAGATGGCACCAAAACTACTTCCTGCATTTTTCCCTCCTCTGGGAGAAGATCTGTCCTTCATCCTTCCTGTAAAAACTCTCATCAGTTCTGTTCAGACACACCCAGTTCCTACATGGGACACTGCCTGGGCTCAGTTTGCTGCTTAAACTCTAATATACTCCATGCTGAGTGTCTGCAAGGCAGGAAGTATGGGACAAAGGGTCTGCCTGATTTGGAGAAGTGGCAGCTCCCTGTTGCCTTATGAATTTTTTTCCCCTGTGGCATAATTTTATTCATTATGATTGGGAGAAGGTAATTGTAATATATACAATTCACAGAAAACTCCCAAATAACAAATAAATGTTTTAAAATTATAACAATGAGATATCTTTTAAAAAATTAATTTTATCTGTACACTTTAGATATATATAATGATCACATTCATTATAGAGAATTTGTACCTGTGCATAATATATCTTTTTTTTGTATATCCTTTTATTGGTACATTCTAGGTGTACAATATGACATTCATCATTGGAGATATGCACCTTACCATACTCTCTTGGTTCTTATTTTTGCCCCCTTCCCCTGCCCTCCCTTCAACCCCTCCATCCCTCCCTATTTACAAAGACTTTGTTTCCATTTTTTCATCTTCTCATATTAATTTCATTCCTTTCTTTCCTTCCCCCTACTGCCTTATGAATTAATAAAGAGTCACGATGGTACTGTGCCTGTCTGGGCCTTGGTGGCAGCTTAGGGAAGAAGGCACAGGGTAATTGGGGTTTTATACAAAAACAACATTGCTCGGGGGCAGGCAGCTCAATACTTTCTGGCAAATAATAATTACAATGATAATGCTCTCCAAGGAGCTTTAGGGTCTGTGTGCCCATGAAGGCAATTCATGTCACTGAAATGATGTGGGTTAACTTGACATTTACGACTTTTACAAGAGACTCAATGACATAATCCCACTGCTTCATTTCCCTTGGCTAAATTGCCCAGTGTGTCCAGTTATTTTGCTAAAACTGAAGGTGGATGAAAAACATCTCTTTTTCTGCTAAGTATATCGATCAATTTTCGGCTGTCTTGTGAATACTATGCAACATTTCACACAAGAGTTCATAGCCTGTGGAAGGTACTCTGTGTCACAAACCAGTGTGACTCCTGCCAGGCCTGGGAGGAAGAGTCGGACTTGTGAGGGTATCCATAGACTGTGCACCCCTCAGAACCCAAGAGGAGCCATCGGCCCTTCTAAAATTGACCTGGCCCTTCTAAAATTGACCTGCCCCATTGGAGGAATGTATTAAACGCCAGTCCCTGGTAGGCTCTGGGAAGGGCAGTCCTTCTGAGGCTATTTTTTAATGATCCCTCCCCCTAGTTTTAAATGAACCTCCCCAGGTGGTTCAGGGTCATCTGCTCCCTTTTGTTGGCTCACGTCCATCTTTGCTGTACTGTAATGGCCTTTGATATTTGTTCTGCTCCAGGAGATCATTTATCTCTGTATTTTTAGTCTTACCACAGAGCTTTAAAAAGCTGTAGCTTTTTGAGCCTCGAAAGTCTGACCAGTTACATGATGTCAAGACAAGAACGTTTTTTGAAGTACGTGTACTGTGTCATTATAAGGTGTTACTTTAGTAGGGCCACTCTAAGAGATAGGTTGAGGATTGTGAAGCCAATTTGCCATGCACTGGTACCAACCCCAGGGGAAGCCTCTAAGTGCCTCACCAGTGCTGTGCATCTGCATTGCCTGTTTAACCCCCTTGCAGGAGCCTGCTGATTCGGGATGCTCATACAGGGTTGACGCGGAAGGGCTAAGGACATGACTCAGTGGTAGAGCACTTGCCTAGCATCCCTGAAGCCCAGGGTTTGATCCCCAGCATCAAAAACATAAATAACAAAAATAAAATAAACGATTACAAAAGGGAAATGGAGCAACTTTATTATTCAGGCAGCAAGAAGCAACAGAAGCCTGGGACCCATGGCAAGTGGGTGGCCAAGGCTTGAGACAGCCACCCAGGATGGATTCAGTCTTCTCCATGCATGGGTCCCTTCATACCAGCCGAAGGTCCTCAAAAGTACAGCACAGCCCTGGCTTTATACCTGGTGGTTACTGGACTTTCTGGGCCAAAGAGCTGCAGGATGTCCTATTCTAAGGGGACACGAATGGGGCCTGGGTTATTCTAGTCAGCCCCTGCTTCTCTCAGGCTGCTGCATTCCCAGCACATTCTGCGGTTATTTTAAGAGCTACAAGTGAGAAAGGAGGAGAAAAGCTGGTTCATCCAGCCCATCCAGGACTCATTCTACAAAGCCAGACAGCAGGAAAGAGGGGAGCTCTTTTAGTGAGCTCAGGCTGCTATAACAAAGTACCATGGGGCTTAAACAAGTTGCTTATTTCTTGTGCAGGGTGGAATCCCAGGTCAGGGTGCTGGCTTACTCGGTTCCTGCTGAGGCTCTTTTCCTGTCCGGCATGTGGCCACCTTCTCATTGCATCCTCACGTGCCCAGGTGGTGGGCAGGAACCAAAGAGGGCGCTTTCTGGTGTCTCTTCTCACAAGGCCTATTGGAGCAGGATTCCATCCTTATGACCACATTTAACCTTAATTCCTTCTTGTAGGCCCTAACTCTAAACACAGTCACATTGCAAGTTAGGGCTTGTACATATGAATTGGGGGAGGGCAGGAGAGGCAAAACATTCATTTCATAACAGGAGAGAAATAGAAAGTGGGTTATAAGTTATTTCTTAGAAGCAACTAAATATGTGGTTTGGGCCCCTTCAGATCTCTGAATACTCATGACCTACATGGGTTTATTCATTCATTTATTTAGGCAGTGCTAGGTATCTAATCCAGGACCCTACATATGCTAGGCAAGTTCCCTACCAACTGAGTTACGTTCCTGGCCTCATCCACATGGGTTATAATTAATCATATACAGTACTGCCTATGGCATCTCCTG